GCATGTCCCAACTAAAGCCATGTAGTGTTAAATGAAAAATGGGCAGAGTACATACACGTTGCAGGCAAGGCGGCAACAGCGACGTCGCCTTCGCGAGATTCACACCAGGACCTAGTTTAATACATTATGAAACTTTCTAAGCGAAGCATAGGGCTTCCTGAGCAAAGATATTAGCAATTATTTCATAAATTATGTCCGTTCAAAATTAAAAAGGGAAGAATATGAAAAGATAACAGATAAAACGAAATAATATCGAGTAGAATATAAGAAGCACGTACTCTGATGACACTCCTCTTTTTCACAGTTGTTGTCGATAAACTGTATATTTTCACTGACGGATGGCCGCTTCAGTAGTGAAACACCCAAGGACTTCACTTTTGATGCTCGACGATCTTAAATCATGAATGAAAAACACTGAAAATGTTTTTTTATTCCTATCTACCTGGTTTCGATGATGGTGTTGTGACGTCATCAATGAACCTTATGCCCTGCTTATTGTCTTTTTCGCTTTCGTAGAAACCATTTGAATTCTTGCATTCCAATGGTTTACTGCATATAGACGATACAGCAGCTCCTAAGAATCTGTTCTGTGGAAAAGCAGAGCTCGAGGATCAAAGAAGAAACAAATAGTTTGAACCACTTGAGCACAGAGTAAGGCTGCATTCATAGCTTGCGCTGGTACACGCTGAACCACTAATGTTTCAAGTGTCCAGCAGCGTCAGCGACAACAAAAGTATACGATCTAGCGTCTTCCTCTGCCAACGTCCACCAGCGTTCACCAGCGACCGGGGGTAGAGAGTATGAGGAAGTGGAGGGTGACAAACAGCTGGAAGAAAAGGTGGAGAATATCTGTGTTTAGCAGTTGTGCTGTGCCGTTGCACACCGCAGTTTCACGACGCCTAATTCGACTGTTTGCTACCCTTCTCCTTCCCCATACTCTCTATCGGTCGCTGCTGATCGCTGACAGACGCCGGCACACGCTGGATTGATATCTATCCTTTCCTAGTCGCTGACGCCGGGACGCTTGTGACGTAGGGTCGCTGGCGGACGCTGGTAGACGCTGGTAGACGCTGCGGCAAAATAAGTCGGAACGCTGCCTGAGGCGGGCAAGTGGTTCAAACTTCTTTGTTTGGAACGATAGGATTCACTTCTTCCAGTAGCTAGGCTCGAATGAATCCGCTTCCCTATTGAATCGAACTTCTCCGATTTTCTCATATAACTGTTGATTATGGCAAATTCCAATAATGCAGAAAATACAAAAAGCATACACGCTGGAAACAAGAAACCAACAGCACTGTTGACAATTAATGAAGAATCAATGAAAACTCGAAATCGTACCTCCGTACCAGAGATCAATCGCTTTAACGTAGCTCACTTGAGGCAGTCCAAAACGGAGACCATTACCCTTGAAAATTTATTCGCAATCAAATCACTATTTATACGTGTTTTGTCTCTATTGTGCTACAAAAGTGCTTTTGGAAGAGGAGAGGCAAGAGGTTTTCTTTATCGATTCAGGAAAATTGGCTGATGATTACAAAAGAAAACGAATTATTAAAACTTACTAATGTAGTTAATGAGACCAACGTTGTGAAGCTTAGAGTGACCCTCGCAGGTACAGCTGAACGATACTTGAATTAAAAGAAGTGGTAAAAAATGAAACTCTCAATGAGCAGAAGTAACCGCGGAAGCTTGTGCTTAGCTGAGTCGATTGTAACTAATTGGTTCTATTTCAAAGGTAGGGTGGTGAGGGCGCAACAGAGAAAGGAGCAGCTATTACTCGCCAGGTAGGTGGGTTCATTCCTTTCAAAGCAGCCAAGTTCCTGCCCTCCGAAATCAGCTGATTAGCAGCGTGCTTGTTCGGAAGGACGGCGATAGAGACAGGCACGTCGCCGATTCTACACAATCTGCATAGCTCGAAATCGCTCTGTAGTCTCTCCAAATGATTCAGTAATCCTTATGAAAGTCGTACTTCGGGTATCTAACCAGAGCGGTGATTTATTTACTTTCATCTTTATCCCCTCAACTTAGGACGTGTGAGTAGAGTCTTCCGCGCTGCGGGAATGGGGCGTGTCGGGGTGGGCTGGGCTTCCGTGATTCCAGCCCGTGCACCACAGACTATGGAAGCTGGCACCACACTTGTCAGAAAACTGGTCAGCTCTGGGCCAGGTTCCAGCCCCTACCCCCTCCCCCCACTTGACACGCTCCAGCGTCCACAGCAAACTTTGCAGTTGGGAAACGTGCTTTTGACTGAGAGGCTTCACGTGGTAGCACAACAAATCCGCCCTTCTGCACCCGGAGACAAAGACCCATGCGGATTCTGTTCTTGTTCGTCTGTGCTCTTTTGAATTCGAGTCGAGCACAGTTCGGAACATCCGGGCGGAAGGTATCCTTGGTCCTGTGTCGAGGCGTCCTGCACAGACTAGTAGTTTCTAGCTAGCTGACTTGACCCAACGCAGCAGCAACACTCCATCGCTCGGGTGCTTCTGCGAATGACCTGCTTAGAACACCTCTTTCGCTGCCCACGCCACAACTTGGAATGAGTCTTTTGACGCTCTTGCAGCGGCTCGGAGGAGACTTCCTCCGAGAGGCTGCAAGGGCGTCAAAAAGCGATGCGAGCAGGGTCATTGGCACGAGGATTCGCTCACTTGACGGGGCAATGGCGCCCTCCCTCCTCACCATATGGGAGAGCTGTTGGCAGCTATCTACGTTCAATCACTCAAATCTCCAGTCTTGTTTGCTTCAGATGAATGGGCGTGTCATGAGGCTGGGTTTGGCGCGCCGCCAGCTCGTTTCCCACCAGCTGCCAAGGTAAACGGCAGCGACCGGAATGCGACTGAACAAACGCTATCATACTGTCTCGTCGCTTGTCGAGAGAAAAATAGGAAAAACGCCGCCACATCAAACCCATCCCCTTGACACGCCCCACCATCAGCAGCGAACACGGCTGTATAAGACTTTCACAATCGATGCAACTGAACTCCTACATCCGATGAGATCCGCTCAACGAGCCTTACCTCTGCGATCGATCCAAAATGAAACCCATGAAATCATCACAATTAATCCAGTTGGGATATATGACTGAACAAGATTATAACCAATAGAACGTGATAAGTACAAATTTCCTTCCAGACAACTAAAATTGTCTGAAATTGCCGAATTTGGTGACCTACAACGATAGACGTGTGGTATGTGGGTCTACCCGCTGCTTACCAAGTTTATATGAATTTGGCATTAATGCATAGCGATATGTCCCGTTACAATAACCTTTTGCGACAGCAGTAATCATGAATTCCGGAAGACCTATTTCTGGGTTGGAACGAATAGGGTTGGAATCAAACCACGTCACGTTGACCTGTTTAGCGATGTAGGCATCTGTAAAAAATGTATCAAGAAAGACTTCAGATTTGTTGTATAGGAATTAGTAATAAGAGCTGTGAGCCAGCCAACAGTGACTGCATGTCAAGTACAGGCTTCAAGGAGTACCGTTTTCTGGAGCACGAGCCGCACTGGCGTATAAGCCGCCCTTCTGCTCTAAGCGCCGCAAGCAGCTCGTGCGCAAAACAAGCGTTTATGTATTTCTCTACTAAATTATCAAAAATTTCATCATGGTTCATGTTCTTAACTTATTGATGCTTCTATCGATAGGTACTTTCATTAACTGATTCCGGTAAAATAGAGTCAGACGGTAATATTGGATAATAATGGTAAAGAAAGGGCACAGCTAAAAAACAACTGTGCAACCATATTTTCCGAGCACACAGTCATAAGCATCCGACCGACTATCAATGCATCTTTCATATTTTTGCAAACATAAAGTGGGTGAATGGTTGCTAAACTCTATGTACCAAAGCCATCACCCATGAAAAGCCAAATACCGGTCTTTACGCTACGGATGCTGGGGCTGTCTGGGCGCTGGGTTTGGGACGGCGCAGACGTTTTCTACTAACTGTTGCTGCCTTCCTCTCCTTAACAATTGGAGGAGAACGAGCCGGCGCCACCCGGTCCTCTACCCTCACCATTTCAATCTGCAGCGGACAAGACTGTAAATGCTTCCTTCATACTCTGCGGCAGCGTTCACCGTTCCAGCGTCTGCCAGCCTCTACTATTAGGTTGGCCGGAGAGTTGCAGTACGTTTTGGTGTTAGCTTATTTTTTGAACATTCATTGCTGGATTAAACTCATTCTCCCTTGCGTCTCAGTAGTACATCCTGAAGAGAATTCTTTGCGCTATCTGATGGTATAACTGCCGTTTCACCATTGCTTGATGAACCCCTTTTTTTTAAGATTTTTCAAGCATGTGAAAAGAGCACACTTCCAGACGATTTTTTTCTTCGACTATAAAAGTTGGGGGCAATCCCGCATCGAAACAGATTAACAATTAACTATGGTGTGGGGCCCAGTAGTGGTAGAGAAAGCACTGTGCGGCAATGGCTCAACAAATTTCGTTCTGGAGATTTCAGCCTTGAAGATGAACCTCATAGCGGTCGACCTAAAGCAATATCTGACGAGGATTTTAAGGGGATTTTGAAGGCTGACCCATCCCAAACAGTTCGAGAGATTGCAGAAAAGCTAGGCGTTGGCAAATTCAGTGTTGCAGATGGTCTGAAAGGTGCAAGGAAGGTCGAGAAGGTGAAAAAACTCGATAAGTGGGTGCCCCACAATTTGAGTGACCGGCAGAAATTGGCACGTCTCGCGGGTTCCTCTTCACTGCTTTTGCGCAACAGAAACGACCCGTTTTTGGAACCGAATTGTCACCTGTGATGAAAAATGGACATGTCTGATAAGAGACGTTCCGGACAGTGGTTGGATTCGACGAACCACCGAGGTAATTTTCGGACAGAGCCGCTTACCCTCACGAAAAAAAGATTCTGGTCACGGCTTGGTGGTCATCGGCTGGTGTGATCCACTATAACTTTTTATCACCAGGCCAAACCATCACAGCAGAACCCTACTGTGAAGGAATCGACGAAATGTACCGAAAATTTTGTCAGCTGCAGCCAACACTTATCAAAAGAAAGGGTCCGATTCCTTTGCATGACAACGCCCGCCCACACGTTTCACAAATCACTATCCATAAATTGAACGAATTTGGTTGAAGTTCTACCTCAACCGCCATATTCTTCAGACCTTTCGCCAATCGACTATCAACCTTTTCAAACATTTGAGAACCTCCCTTGCTAGGAAAAATACTTCATGCAATACGAGGACCAGGCAAGACGCCTTCGTGAATGTTGTGAACTTCTCGACCACCGCTGTTTTTTTTCTTTGATGGGATTCTCAGCATATTGGCAAAGTTGTGCTGCTTTGGAGGCGCTTATTTGGATTAAATCCGATGAGTGTTAAGAAAGGTTATGAACGTTTAAAGTGAAACACTCGAAACGTGCAGAACTTTCCGACAACCTAATAGCTTCACGAGGGCTAGGAGAGTGTGAGTAATGATCTGCGTCTGCCGGGATTCACGACAGCCGACAAGAAGTTACGAGAGCGGGGTAGGGTAGTCCCGAGAGGGCGAGGTGGGGGGCGGTAAGCAAAACAGCTTGGATCAGGCGCTGCTATTCATGCTTGCAACGCTAACGTGCCTCGTGCTGCAGCGCACATAGTAAAAAACTACGCTACACCCTACACATGAAGTGCATATTGCTGTGCTCGAGGCACAGCTTAATTCTGTGCGCGCGTCACGACAGCTTGATCGAGCTTGATTCGCTGCACTACTACTTCCCCATACGCTCTCTCTCTTGGTTCAGCTAGCGAAAGCTGGTGTGACCGCTGGCAGACGCATGTGGACGCTGGCCGCAGCGAAGTATGAACGCAGCTGTCGTAGCCAGCACGTTCCCTACCAGTTGTGGTCGCCTTCCCCTCTTCAAAAACCAGAGGGGAACGAGCTGGCAGACCGTCAAGCCTAGCCCCAGACACATCCTAGCATCTGCAGTGTACAATACTATAAATGTATCTAATGCAAACTGGGTGAATGGTTGCAAAACTCTATTAGCCAAGCCATCAACCCATGAAAGCTGGGCTGATTTAAAACGTTTGTTCCAATCTGTAACAGCACGCAGCAACAATTGCATTCAAAACAATAAAATGTTACAATATGAATTCAAAAACAGTTACTGTAAAGTACTGCTTACAGCTTAACACTCTGATCGAGCATAATTGCGAGTCCATTGGGTAGAACCTGAAACAAGTTTGTACTCTTAATCGATTGTCCTCATGTGTACGACTGAATGAGATTCGAGCAGTTAACCTTAGATCCAAGTTGCATGCAACGGTGAGCGTGCATCGCAGTGAATAAGCAACCGTTCCATCAGGTGAAATAAACATATTGAAATTAGGCACTGTTACATGTTGGAAATGTGCTTGGCGAGCGTTTGCAAAATATAAGTCCGGGAGCCTAAATTGAAGATGATGAAAGTGATCACACGAAGAGAGAGCCGACCAATTGAAACTTAAAAAAACGGGACCAAGGTGGACCAGATGCACCCTGAGTTCTTATGGCTAGGTGGTCTCAGTGCCCATGAATGAGACGGAACACGGGTGATGTTAGAAGAAACGGAATTTTCGCAATCGTAGCGATTTTTTTCTGACAACTAGGGAGGCGGTCAAAGGCAATCGTAATTTGCTGCTTCGTCGCGTGCGGCAGCGATAGACGCAGCATTCACTGAATTCGCGTTAGCCTGTCGACTGGAGCACTGGATTTCAAATAAGCCACGACATCGTGGATATTTATGGCTATTTTTGATTACACATTGTCTACAGCCCTCATCATTGCGGACTGTCGGAGGGCGGCTGTGCAACGCGGTCCAAATGGGCGTTCGGCCTCGTTGCTCTACCAATGGCGATCGGGTAAAGATCGATTTAGGGAGGGAGCAACCAATGATGGAAACGCCGCAGGTGCGAGCCGCTGATTTCCACCCGATGATTGCAGTGATTTAAATGTATTTTCTCCATTCACGGCCCAGAAACAGCGTAATTTTCCGACGCGACGTCCACCAGGGCGGCAATCACGATTATCGTTGTCGAGCATACTCCAGTGCAAGCCTTCACTTTAGGTCCTCCGCTGAGGACGAATAGTAATTAATGGAGGAATCATAATCATCGTTGCCATCATCCACGTCATGTCTGCTTGTCTGCGTCCACTCCTTGAATAGAATATGGTGCAAATATCTATTCTAAAGCTTCGACGGGACGTGGCAATACAAGACTGACAAAAAATGGCCTTGCATTGTCGCGCATCCGGCACAGCATATCCCACTTTGGGCTGACCAACCACCACCGAAGTCTAGGGAGGAGAAAACCAGTAAAGGTATCAGAAGAGGGTGGTCCTTGCGCTGATTGACCCCTTTCTGAGATGCATTCTGCTTCCATTCAGGGTCATGGTGGTTTTACGGAATACGATGTGGCCTACACAATGTCTTGCGAGGGCCAGCCGACGTACCGATGAGTGCTCTTATCCTCACGAACGAATCTAGTACCGAATTACAGCGCTCGGAGGATAGAAGGCTTGGTTGGCTTGGATGGGAGCTGATTATGGGAATCAACAGGCATCTGTAGTGTAAACACAATGTGTAGGGGATCGTACTTTTCCGCTTTTTCTTTCGTACTTGGGGGTCGTATTTGGTCGTTGTCGGGAGAGGGAAGATCATATGTACTTTTGAGAGAAATTTGCCATTTTTTTTCCGATTGTTGACCTTTCGTGATTTTTCTGTTTTGTGTCCTACAAACTTTGGAGGACAAACTGGAAAATGTGCGAAACATTGTTAATGTAGTGTGGGGGAAAGGGGAAGGGGGTCGTACCGAGACCCCCACTTAGGTGGGGGGGTCGTACTTGACACCCTCTCTCGAGGGGGGGGGTCGTACCTACACCACCATTTCACACTCACGCATGCGGCACTAGCGCTGTTCGTTTTTTCAAGGCTCCCAAGGTTACTGGCGCTACGCAATGATTTTATGAACTCAGTCAATTTTTTTTAATTTATAATCTCTTCAGAAGCGGAGGTGGTGTAGTGGCAAGAGGTAAACTTACCACACTCGCGCAAACGGTCCTCCATCGTCTTGAAGATGAGGGCGTGTGCGCAAGTCTAATAGTGACGGAGCTCTGGGGGTGGACCAATTTCAGTCACGGTAATACTATTCAGATAAAGTTAATGCCATTCTCGACGGACAAGGAGCCCTTCAAACGCCCCCCCCCCCAAAATTGTAACGCCAACGGCTCCGTCAACACGGAACAGCAGAAGCACCAACAGCAGAAAACACAACTAGACCGAATATTGCAAGAGTAACACAACTG